TGTATGTATTGTGTACTAGCATTAAAATCTCCCTGATTGAACTCATAGGGTATATTCCAACCCAGTGGTCCATACTTCCTCCTCTCCTGTACTGTAGTGTGGAGGAATGCTATAGTGTAGAGGAGTGGCTTCCACTGAGGGAGGTTACTGATATCAAGCTGCTCCTAATAAATAAAATAATGATAATGTAATTCAGTGAATGACAAATAAAAAGGAACTTTTGATTGAAATATAATGGTTTGTGACAAATAATGCAAAAAGTAGTCTTTGGCATAGACATTGGTGTAACTTTCCCATCAGTACTAGAGCTACTGTATCACTTAACTGTGTACAAATTTATCACACGACATAATACATGTACATGCATACCCCAACCTACAGCAGTAACCTGCTACCTCTACCTGAGTGATGTTGGAATAGGTTCTCTTGAGTCCAGCCTTCACTCCTTGAGGTGGTTCAAAGGTATACTTGATTGAGGACTGGAGGAGGTTAATAGGAAACTTTAAATGAACTTCAGTCGTCATCCAAAGACGGAATGAGTCGTGTACTGACTGTGTCTCAAGGATGGAATTGAGTAACTCGTCCAGGAAATCCAAAGCCAAATGTCCATTCTGCACAAGTAGCCAACCACCCTGTAGAAGAATAAAGGAAATAAATGCTCTCATAACTTTAACTTCATTTTAGTACATGTACATGCATTACTTCATAACAAAGATACAGTACCTGTTGTTGGCATTGCTGGAGTAATCTTCTAGCATGTACCTCTTGTCCCTGACCCATTGAAATGGCCTGACAAGCTACAAGAATTAAAAATCATCAAATACACCAAATTTATCCTACACTTGTACAATTAGTAGCACTAGCACTACTATCACTAACAACGGATTGAGCTCTTACTGAGTTTGACTTTCTTTGCCAATAGATCAATATGATTACTGGGATCGGATCCCATTGACAAGAAACAGATCATTGGTATTCTCTTAGTTGACTCCTCCCACATGACATCCATATCCAATATAACACCTTCAGCATATTTAGTCCCCATTGATTCAGCAATGTACCTCCTGGCCTGAGGGAGGACCCTGTCAGGACACCAGGCTCTGATTAGTAGGAGTTTCCTAAACGTATCCAGTGAATTAGTGTACCCGTCAGGTATAGGAGCTGCTTCTGGGGCATCAGCATCAAACCAGGCCTTCCATCCCTTGTCATTGCGGGATATCTGTATGAATGGATAAAATTAATTTAATTCAATTTAAGTTGCAATTAAACTCAATTCAAATTTGGTCCATCAAATGTACTAACCTGGTTCAATATGTCAGAGAATTGTTGGAGTTTTGATAGCTCAACCAAGTTAAGCCACGTCATGTCAGTGATCCATTTTGAGCTCTTTGCTGGGCACGTCTTTAAATCAAGAGCAGCTCCTCCTTTGATTAGAGTCTGAAATTCATTATGCTTCACATGTCCTTTCTGCATGTCAATCTTTAAGGAGAGGAGGAGCGTGAACAGGAACTTGTGTTCTTCATAAAGACCTCTCGTAGAATATCTAAAAGCTTCAAAGGTCAAATACTCCACAATATTATTGATCCGCTTAGAAGTCACAGGAGACTTTCCAGAGCGAGCCATGGAGAGGTCAAATATGTCTAGAAACTGAACCAGTGAAGTCTGGTACATCACATTGACCATTGACATTTCAACTATTAGGAAATAGAGTATGGAGCCTCTGGCAGCTACTGGTCTGTACTCTTCTCTTGCTGTGTTGATCTTTATTTCTGTTTGAGCTGCTATCTCTAGTTTCTGAGTGACATCCTCTGCAGTGATCTTAGTGGTTCTTAATACTTCAATGAGAGACTCATCATCAACTAGTGAACCCTATGATGACCAGTATCAGTAGTAATACTGGCTCAATGAAACTCACAATGTACATGTACATTAATTGTATTACATTATGGTCGGGTTCTCAACAGGTCATTTTGTGATGGTGAGAAGCATCATGTACCACCTAAACACTTCTTGCACTACACACTTTGTATATTAAAATACAATGTATGCTGCACATTTGACAACACTTGCTAATTGGAAAACTTTAATTTCATAAATATGTAATTATTAAATCAAATATTAGTGGAACCACCAGTTGTACTAAGCATTATTGTTTTAATGTGGCAATTGATAGTTATTAAAACATTAAATTTCCCTTCCACAACACATTACAATTAATTAATTAATTAATGTTTTTACTTTTGTTGATGTCAGTCGATACAGCAAACTGTCCTCAAGTTCTTTCATTTTCTTTTTATTTCCAGACACTTCCTCCAACAGCTTAACCCTCTCTACCTCCAGTTCTTGTTTCTCTGTTAGTATAACACGTCCCAGTAACTGATCCTCAAGTCCTTTCATTGTAACAGTGAAATCAATAATAGCAGTACGAGCACTGATCTACAACAGAGAGTACAATAATGCAATAATGAGCTTTAATGTTGTAGGATTAGTTGCAGCACTGCAGAAAAATGTCTCAAAACATATTTTAATTGGAAATGCATTGTAATTTAAGCAAGGCCTAAGGCCATTCCACAGTGGCACTTGCAATATGCATTGAAACTAGTTCCAGTAATTCTTCATCTGATGTACAATTACTTAATGTCAAACTGCATCTATTGTCGTGTAAATACTCATTCAATAGGTAACTAATGGCAGCTGGATCAGAAATACTATTAAAATATACTGTACAAGGTCCTAAGTCCTAAGCTAAAGATAGTCTGGAATCACTTGATTAAAATTAAAGCTCATCAGCTCTAAACCAGTTCAATTGAAAGTGTAGAAAGGCCTTTAATGTTCCTATCTGTTTCAAAAGTTATTAAAAGTGCTGCATATAGTAAAATTACACTTATAGGACATAAATGTACACCTAATAACTGATTGTTACACAGATAAGTACAACAGTAATATGACTATTGATAATAATAACAGAGTATGCTCCATTATATACCTCTGGTGTGTATGACGGGTTAGGTAGTTTAGTTGTAATGTACAAAGCAAATCCTTTCATCACGTCCACCTCTTTATCACCAACTTTAACTTTAAACATGGTCCCTGATTTTATAAAGTTTTTCTCAAGTACATTATCAAGTGCTGGATCAAGCTCCTCTTCAACATCTTCAATGAGAAGAGGCTTACCAAGAGAGAGACAGTCCTCAAGGTGAGTCCTGAAGTACTTGTGATTCAGATTAGTTAACTACAAATACAATAAATTATCATGAAATTATCTGATGTAAGAACGAAATCAATAATAGTGACATGTGCAAATGTGGCTATATATTATGCTAGTACATAAAATCTCATAGCTGGTTTAAGTACAATAAACCAACTATAGCCTCTTTATAATTCATGTAATGGCCCCTTTAGTATACATTATGTGGAGGGTATTTTATACGGTATGGAATATCTAGAGGCTGTATAGGTTATGTCCATTCAAGAGAGGCTATAATGGAATGGAAAATGTGACAAATATAAACAAGTGAGTGTTACCTGAAGTTCATTATTTCCTTCCCTGTTCTTAATCCAAGTCTTTCCCTGTCCTTGTGGGTCAATCAGCAGAGGATATCGAGTGGCTTTAGTAACAATGATCCCGTTTTGAACTGAGAGTTCATCGTTAGGTAATCCTTGAAGATTCCATTCACCAACAGTGGCTGAGGTGGTCAACATTGATACAAGGTTCATATCAGGACTAAATGGAATTTTTCTATTCTGTACTTCTTTCTGCCACGATGACATGAGTAGCCCACGAAAGTCTTGATTAAAAGGACCAGCATAAGAAAGAAAAGCAGAAGCCATTAGTACATCTCCAACTAGTCGCTTTATTTGACTTTGAAACTCTTCACTTTGCTGTGTCCATCTTTCCTTCTCTCCCCCTAGTCCTTCAATCAGAGTTGAAGCTGCTTTCATTTTCCTCTCACACATTTCAGCATCATCAATCAGTGCTTGCTTCTTGCTCATGGCTTCATCATAAAGAGCTCTCACAACATCAAGCTCCTTCTGTTTATCGGCCAAAGTCTGATTGGCATCTTCAAGCTCAGCCTGAGCTGCTTGGAACTTGACTTCTTGGACAGCCAGATTAGCTTTGAGAGGCAGTACTTCTCTGTTCACTCCATAAAATAAGGCCATGGCCTGAGTCCAGGAGCAGAGTCCTGCTACATTACCACACACTTTCTTTGCAGTCTCAGAGTTATAGTCCTCCATTCTAAAGTAAGGTTGGAGTAGCTCAACCATCTCTTCGTTAATCGAATCTTTAGGAAAACTTTGTAAACTTTGAAGGAAGCCAGCTTGACTCATCATTTTTAGTGATTCACCCCAAGAAGGCTTAGGGCCAGGTCTCTCAGAATCCTGTGTCATGTTATTGAGTCTCTTTTGAAACAGTAAGAGGACACAGTCCATAATCCTCATAATGAGATGTGGTGGTGTTCCAAGTTTTCTTACAGTAGCAATGTCTCCTGATTTTATAGTCTGTAGGGCAGCCTCAGCCTCCTCTAGAGCAGGTCTTGCTTTTTCCAACTTCTCCTCAGCCACAGCTTTATCAGCTGCAATAGCATCAGCCACAGACTGAGCTTTATCTTTCACTTTTTGAACCTCTGCTTTCACTTTCTCAGCAGCTTGGGCCTTTACTGTCACTTCAGCAAGAACCTTCTCAGCTTCTTTTGAGGCTACAGCAAGATCCTTCTTCTTCACAACAAGTTCCTCTGATAGTTGAGCTACTGATTCTCCAGCTTCCTTGAGTTTCTCAAGACCAGACTTCATCCTGTTGCTCATCTCTCCTACATAATTCTTCTGCTCTGTGTATATGTTCTTGTATCCTCCAATGAAGGATAGATAGGATTTTGGTGTCACGTGGGCCGTTCGTCGATACCGCTCAAAATACTCAACACAACTTTCAGCAACAAAGTCCTGGAACACACCCATTGCTTGAATTACCTCTGTCTTCACTTCAGGAGTACAAAGCATGTCATATTCTGAAATGAAATGATGAGCAACAGCTATCAAAGCATCTTTAGGCCAGCGACTGAACCAGTCCATTGTACACCCACTAAATAGTCCAGGGAACTTTAACGAGCGACTCCTAAACTTTTCTCCAACTGGAGAGAAACACAAAACAACGTGAAGATTTTTACGAGCACGTGACAAAAAGTAACTGTAAAGGTTTTCTGGTGTTGGTGGGCGTCTTGGGAACTCTTTCTTCATAACTGGGATCAGCTCAGAGTTGATCTCATCAATTTCATCTCTAGCAAAGAGATTAGAGACTTCACCAGATGAGAGAACATTGTTAATGTATTCAAGGAATCCTTCATCCTTTATCTCTTGGTCAGTGAATAGGAACGTCATTCCTTTCCCTTCCTGTCCAGTGGCCCTGTACAATACCTACATGTATAGATACATAAGAGTTTTGGTGAAAGGACCTCAATTTATCAAATTATTGTGTAGCTACATGTGTATAATATGTACATGTACATGCAGTACAAATGAAATTTATCACAACTGAAGTGTAACTCTATCAAGTGTGTACGGAAAAGGTACATGCATAAAATGTGGCTGTCATTAATTGCTAGTGTGAACATTACCTTTAAGTCTTCCATGAGACTATTCACATTATATGATCGAGAGAGTTGAATCTGAAAGGTCTTATATCCAGCAATGAAAGAGGCTAGTCGTGTTAGACTCTGTTTACCGGAACCACCTACTCCAACCAAGAGGGCATTGCCTCTATCAGTACGAATGAGACGAGATATCTTCATTAAGTGGACCATGGCATCTTTAAAGAACACCAGGTCCATTCCAGAGCCTCTTATAGTCTCATTGTACTGCTGGAGGAAGTTACCAAGCCTTTCCTTTAAATCAGGATAAGATGGAATCTATAAAGTTACAAAAACAATTAAATACAGGTGTATAATGAATATAATACGATCCAAATTTTCTAGCTACTTCCCTTACTGGTTCATAAATTTTTGGAGCTTCAAATTCAAAATCATCAGGTTCGTCACCAGTTGGCTCGGGTGGGTCCCTCAAGAAGTCCACAAAGTAAGGTTCCTCAGGAATCAAATCTTTAATTGATTCTCCCATCTCCTCCTCTATCACTCTTGACAGACAGCGGTCAAACCACTCCTTGTCTTCGGCATTAGTGAACCTGTCGGCAATGACACGAGTGCATTCGTGTTTCCAGAGACCTAGAAACACTTCAACAGATGACAATGCCTCAGACTCAACGTGTAGCATTCCTTCCCAGATACGAGAGAGATCACGAAGGTTAAAAATGTAGTGGAATTTAGCAGGAGTTGGTAGCATTTTTATCTACAGACAAGGACAAAAAATCACACAGTGTAGTAATCTTTACTAGTATTAACACAAATTAACTACCATATACAGCATAATAACTGATTATTTTGAGGAAAATGATATTTTTGATTTTGCATAACACAATTTTTGATAGTTTTTAAAAACTAGGTCATAAATTAATATATTATTTTGTCATAATCCTTACCTTTGTTAGTTGCCATAGTCTCCTAGTACAGACCACAAGATTTGGTATCAGTTCAATAGACTCTTTCATGAATCCTCTCTCAGCACAAAAGTATCCTCTACCAATGGCACCAAATATCTTATCAATGGAAGCATTTGAAGGCAGTGTACAATTAAAGACACTGAACTGCCTCTTGAGTCTCTGAGGTATATCATTCCTACCTCCTCCAGGATGAATCATTGCTGCCAAGAACTGTATATCTTCAATGTGAGTAAAGTCTCCTGGTTTCTCCAGAGAATAGAATCCTTGCATTTCCACAGTTTGTCTAACAATCTCATTAGTGATCTGGTCCCCCCATTCATTGATTATTGGCATGTTTATATCATCCACAAAAACGGTCATCTTCTTACCAGCTGGGGGACCGTAAGTTGTCCCAACCCTCTTGTCAATGTAGCTCTCGACTGATCTCTGAAAGTGGCCAGGAGTGGTGGCTGATGAGAAGCTGAGCCCTTTACTCAAATGCTCCTCTGGATTATATTTTGAGAGGTAGCCATGTATAATGACTGTTTTAGCAGTTCCTTGTTCTCCTATCAATAACACGGCCTTGCTCTGCTTGGCTAGCGTGTGTATTAGGAAGTCAGTCCTTACATTGTCAACGTTAGGGACTAGAATGGAGTGATATGGAGGGATACTGTCCTTTGGATAAATGTACTCCTCCACACGTGTTGACCAGTGGACCCAGTCACCATTATCATCAGCAGGAACAAACT